GGCCTCAACTGAAATATTGTGTCCAGTTCTGGGCGCCACATTTCAGGAAAGCTGTGGAGAAATTGGAGAAAGTACAGAGAAGAGCAACAAAAATGATTAAAGGTCTAGAAAACATGACCTTTGTGGACAGATTAAAAAAATTGTGTTTATTTAGTTTGGAAAAGAGAAGACTGAGAGGGGACATGATAGTTTTCAAGTACATAAAAGGTTGTTACAAGGAGGAGGGAGAAAAATGGTTGTTCTTAACCTCTGAGGGTAGGACAAGAAGCAATGGGCTTAAATTGCAGCAAGGGCGGTTTAGGTTGGACATTAGGAAAAACTTCCTGTCATGGTGGTTAGGGACTGGAATAAATTGTCTAGGGAGGTTGTGGAATCTCTATCATTGGAGATGTCAAGGCTAATTCCCCACTCTGGCACTTCGAGTGCAGAAGGTGGGGGCCCGCAAGGATTCTAAAAATTAATACTGGCCATTCCAGGCTTGTATTAAACTCCCAAGGCTACAGCTTTTCTCTGACCTTGGATTGGTAAATGCTGCCACCACCCAAGTGCAGAACCCCTTTGAGAGCCCAGGAAGGTGCACTTGGGAATTCCTTCCTGTGGGATACCCTCAAGCCCCTTCACCCCTGGGGAAGAGCTGAGGGGGAAGGGGGAAGGAAATCAGCTGTTGCCACCAGCTAATTAAACATGTACACAAACCTCTTATGACACAAAAATCTAATTCTGTTCTTAAAATAGATAAATTTTATTAAAAAAACAAAGAAACAAGCAAAACAAAAGCACCTGAGGTTAGCACAGAGGAATCTACAAACCATAAAGAAACAAAAAGAATAAACCTAATTGCATCTTCCTAGATATTTCCTGATCTACTTACATATCTGGGGTTTTAAATAAGTAGTTTTTAGCTATGATACTGATGATTTTTTTATACTTGGCCTAAGCTTCTTACAGCATAGCTGCTGCCCTGTTCACCTCTCCCCGGGAGAACAGACAGACAGACAAAAGGGGAGTGCTTTTTCAATTTTAAAAAGTTCTAGCCTTCCCATTGGCAATTTTGGCCAGGTGCCCACTCAATTCCTTTTACCTATGCATGGCAGTGAGACTTTTTAACCCTCTACAGGTAGAGCAATTAGAGAACAGCTACTAAGAGGGATTTTATATCTACTCGCTGGCTGGGTGTCCATAAAAGGGAGCTATTCCCCCCCCCCTTCATTTATCACAGGAGATTTCTAAGAGCTGGTTAGACCAGGGGTCGGCAACCTTTCGGAACTGGTGTGCCGAGTCTTAATTTATTCACTCTAATTTAAGGTTTTGTGTGCCAGTAATACATTTTAATGTTTTTAGAAGGTCTCTTTCTATAAGTCTATAATATATAACTAAACTATTGTTGTATGTAAAGTAAATAAGGTTTTTAAAATGTTTAAGAAGCTTCATTTAAAATTAAATTAAAATGCAGAGCCCACCGGACCTGTGGCCAGGACCCGGGCAGTGTGAGTGCCACTGAAAATCAGCTCGCGTGCCGCCTTTGGCACGAGTGCTGTAGGTTGCCTACCCCTGGGTTAGACAAACCCCTTTCAGGAATGGTCTAGATCAGTGTTTCTCAACCTTTTGTACTGGTGACCCTTTTCACATAGAAAGCCTCTGAATGTGACCCTCATAAATTAAAAACACTTTTTGTATATTTAACACCATTATAAATGCTGGAGGCAAAGCAGGGTTTGGGGTGGAGGCTGACAGCTGGTGATTCCCCATGTAAGAACCATGTGACCCTTTGTGGGGTCCTGACCCCCAATTGAAAACCCCTGGTCTAGATAATGCGTAGTCCTGCCACGAGTGCAGGGCACTGGACTAGATGACATCTCCAGGCCCTTCCACTCCTATCATTCTATGATCCTTGAATTATGAACGCCAGAACTGGAGGCAGTACTGCAGCAGTGGATGCACCAGAGCCAAATACCGGGGTAGTGTAACCTTGCTACTTTTACTCAATATTCCCATTGATACCTCCAAGGATCGCATTAGCCCTTTTGTGCACAGTGGTGGCTGGGGGCTCATGTTCAGTTGATTAGTCATTAAATTAAAAAAAAATTAAATTAAATTAATGGAGATATCCTATCTCCTAGAACTGGAAGGGACCTTGAAAGGTCATCAAGTCCAGCCCCCTGCCTTCACTAGCAGGACCAAGTATTGATTTTGCCCCAGATCCCTAAGTGGCCCCCTCAAGGATTGAACTCACAACCGTGGGTTTATTAGGCCAATACTCAAACCACTGAGCTATCCCTCCTCCCATCAGGGTCATCAGGACTCAAGTCTTTTCCAGAGTCACTGCTTCCCAGGATAGTGTCTGCCATTCTGTAAATACGGTCTTCATTCTTTGTTCCTAGCTGGGTAAGGACATTTGGTCAGATTAAAACACACATTGTTTGCTTGTGCCCAGTTTACCAAGTGGTCCAGATTGCTCCATTATTTATCTCTCCCTCAGTGTTTTTGTCATCTGCCAACTTAACCAGGAATGATTTGTTTTCTTCCAGGTCACTAATATTATTAAATAGTTTAGGGCCAAGAACTGATCCCTGCAGTACCCCACTGGAAACATACCTGCTGGATGATGATTCCCTGTTTAGTTACATTTTGAGATCTGTCACTTTGCCAGTTTTTAATCCATTTAGTATGTGTCATGTTAATTTTGTATAATTCTATTTTTTGATCAGAATGTTCCTGTGGCACCAGTTGACATGCCTTACAGAAGTCCATTCCATAAACACTGTTGCCTTTTATCAACACAGTTTGCCAGCCATTCTGCAAGCCTGTGACGCAGGGCCAGCTGTGTGTCACATCTGATCCACGCATGGCCTCTAGCCAAGCAGAGATCCTGACACTGACAAACCTCTAATCTCGGGGTGGGCCATCCACCAGGCTGGACACAGGGCCTGGTGCTGATAGACTGAGCCCTAGGAACACGATCTGACTGACAAACCTCTCCCACCTCATCAGAGATGGGGTCTGACACCGATGGCTTTTGCTCACTACTAGAGCCAGCAAAGAGTCCTGTGGCACCTTATAGACTAACAGACGTATTGGAGCATGAGGTTTCGTGGGTGAATACCCGCTTCGTCAGACGCATGCATCTGACGAAGTGGGTATTCACCCACGAAAGCTCATGCTCCAATACGTCTGTTAGTCTATAAGGTGCCACCGGACTCTTTGCTG